AAAAGGCTTATTCACACCTGCTGAAGGTGTGTCTACGGAAGCAAAGAATCCTTCGTCGGACAACCAGCGGCTGGTTTTGTGATGTGTGCAACGAAGGCGTTCCCCAGCCGGAGGAACATCGGTGTCCTGTCAAAGGTCGTCGACGTCAGTGCCCTGTCTGCGGGATGGACTTCGGCGGGCAGCGCGACCACAAGATGTTGACTCATGTCCGCCAGGATCACCAGAGTTCCTGGCTTCGTTGTAATTGCATGTACTTCCCAGGACCAGTGACTCTTACCCAGTGATATGTTGTAGATGGCATGGAAAATAAAATCTATGAATACTTTTTGCATTTCTATCATTTTGAAATATACTGTCAATAACTGCATATACACACAAACATCAACAAATATAACGAGCATGGAATGCAGTTAGAAAGGTAAAGAGCGTTGTTAATGAGATCAAAGGGGGAAACAGAACGAAATGATGGAGGGTGTGTGGGGATACGGAGCAAGGAGAGTGAAGGTAGAGTTGAAACGTGGTGGCGAAAGGCTGACAATGGGCAAACATGAAGACGAAGAAGAAAGGAGGAAATTTAGAAACAGGTGGTTTAATTTTGACGAAAGCAAATTACACAAATAGACATAGGTGTGTTTGGATGTTTATTTTCTGTTTATCTGTTTATATATCTACATATTCAGCTCTCTCCCTGCCACCCTATCTATAAATCTATCTATATATGTCTACTATGTTCCGGCTCACCTATGTATCTATTGATATATATCTATCAGTAAATTTACATTCCTACCCACTTAACTATCTATACATACACACACACACATATATATGTGTGTGTATGTATATATACAGATATATATTAATTTATTATCAATCTATCCACTCCTATATATTTATTATTATCTATCTCTCGATAGGTAATGGCTATTAATATCGATTTATCCACTGGTGTCTATCTATCTATTGATATCTATCTCGATTTCTATGATATCTATTTAGGTGTATTGATATTTATTTATTTACCTTTTCATCTGTCGATATCTATCTTTCGATATCTGTCTATTTATCGACATCTGTCTTTATCTTTCTATATATAACTATCTATCGATGTCTTTCTAAAATTTTCTATCGATATCTATTTTTCCATCTATATCAATCGATATCTATTATTATCTATATATTGATATCTATATATATTATTATCTATCTCGTATCGATATCTATCATTATATATCTATCGATAGGTATCTTTCTATCTATAACTATCGATATCTATGTTTATATAGCTATTGATAGCTATTTATCTTTATCTATCCATCGATATCTATCTGGCGAGAACGTCTTCGACTGCACGAGATGCAACTCCTTCGCGCGCCGTCTTGAGTCGCAGGAAAAACGTATATTTCATAGACAAATGGAAAGCACACTGACTCGTAATTATCATAAACGATCCTTGAAGACTTCAAGGACAGTCGAGACTTAAGATAAATGTTATTCTTCCTACAACATGATGCAACTCGCGATGTAAATAACAAATACTCATTCAACATAACAATACTGATATTATGAATACATGAAAATATTTATACTACATATATACACACACGGTGATCTTATGTATACCATCTATATATCATTCACCTCACTCCCTCTACACTAAACCTCACTGCACCCATTCAATCCTTCTCAGCTTTCTCCCATTTCTATGTGGGTCCGTTATGGATGAGCCGCCTCCACTGATTTTGCTATTACGGCTCATTCATATTGGTTTTTGTGGTTTTTACAGTCGAATGACTTCAAGGTATTTCTGAAATACGCTGTCGACCACTGATTATATACATATGCGGACATTACACCATAGACACTATACTTTACATCAATGAATAAACATAGATAAATATAGATATGGATATTGATGCCTTTTGTCTTAATAGATTTCTCTCGATCATCTAGCTCATACCAATGTATATGCATTATAGCTACGTCGCTTGATAGTCGTATACACAGGCACCTTTAATAATTACGTCACGTTCCTAAGAAAAACAAAAGGTAAGCTATTTTCTAATTTATAATGTTACTGAAACTGAAATCAGTGTCTGTGTACACTATACTCCGAGCAAAAATCCCTGGAATGCGGATTCTAATTTTGTCTTGGTCAGTCTTGAATTTGAACTACATTTGTCTTGTTAATAATTCATAATTCTATTAATAATTGAACTATATTTGTCTTGTTCCTCAGTGTAAGAGAAGCTATTTCCTCTTTTTATGACATGGCCGTGTGTAAAAGTGTGCATTAACTGCCAGGACAGTATTAATCATAGTTTATCATCCTTTTAATGCCTCTTCCATCATTATAATATACGTTTTGTAATCTATGGTATTCGTAGCCTGTTTTGACACTACCCTGGAACATAACAGTAATAATGATATTGGTATTGAAATGATGATAGCCTTACCAATGCTGGTGATAATAATAACGATTATTATCAATTTTGATTGGAGTAAATCACACATCAGGGCCTTGAATCTGACTGAGTGAGGCAGGAACTCGGGCGGGCTGTGACCTTGACCTGTAGAGATCGTCCTCAGGTCAGGAACCATTCAAAAGCCTCTTCCCGCTCGTTTCCCTCACCAGTGTTCCTCGTTCGATCACCAAGATGGATAACTTTGAGTACATTTTTTCTTATCCGTCTGACGTGGCTGCCTCTCAGTATGGGTCTGACGCGGCTGGATATGCTTGGACGTTTGGAGACGTTGTGGGGGTGTCCTCGAGGGACATCATGGACCACTTACTAGGAGCGCCCTTGCCGCCCCCGAAGAGACAGTGCGTTCGACCTCCGAGTGATCTCTCATGGTGTCAGCCTTCCTATGCAAGTTACTCCACTCCCTTTGTTGGGAGGCCATCGGAATCGGATCTGGACGCAGCTTCATGGTTGGCCTCGGTGTCTGCCCCACGAAAAGGAGGCGATTTCACCCTCGCCTGCTCCAGCGCCTCCTTCAGTAAGCCAAGAATTCAAGAGCGCTCTCGGCCCCGTCACTGTCACCCTTCCTGTCGCCGCAGGTAACCTCCTCTCCAACCCCTCCTGCGTCCTCCGGCCGCAGAAGGAAGAACGCCCACTGTCATCTCTGCGACAAGCGCTTCGAGAGTCGCTACAAGTTAAAGATGCACGTCAATACCCACACGGGTGCTCGGCCCTTCACGTGCGACGTGTGCGGCAAAGGCTTCATGCGACGGACCACCCTCAACGCACATCGAACCATCCACGACGCCTCCCAGTTCTCGTGTCCCACCTGCAACCGCCCCTTCAAGCGCTCGTCCGAAAGGCTTATTCACATCCTGCTGAAGGTGTGTCTACGGAAGCAAAGAATCCTTCGTCGGACAACCAGCGGCTGGTTTTGTGATGTGTGCAACGAAGGCGTTCCCCAGCCGGAGGAACATCGGTGTCCTGTCAAAGGTCGTCGACGTCAGTGCCCTGTCTGCGGGATGGACTTCGGCGGGCAGCGCGACCACAAGATGTTGACTCATGTCCGCCAGGATCACCCAGAGTTCCTGGCTTCGTTGTAATTGCATGTACTTCCCAGGACCAGTGACTCTTACCCAGTGATATGTTGTAGATGGCATGGAAAATAAAAATCTATGAATGGTACTTTTTGCATTTCTATCATTTGAAATATACTGTCAAATAACTGCATATTACACACAAACATCAACAAATATAACGAGCATGGAATGCAGTTAGAAAGGTAAAGAGCGTTGTTAATGAGATCAAAGGGGGAAACAATACGAAATGATTAAGGGTGTGTGGGGATACGGAGCAAGGAAAGTGTAGGTGGAGTTGAAACGTGGTGTGAAAGGCTGGCAATGCGCAAACATGAAGAAATACGAAGAAAGGAGGAAATTTAGAAAACAGGTGGTTTAATTTGACGAAAAGCAAATTACAGACATAGGGTGTTTGGATGTTTTTTTCTGTTTATCTGTTTATATATCTACCTATTTAGCTTTTTCCCTGCCACCCTATCTACAAATCCCATATATATATGTTCCGGCTCACCTATGTATCTATTGATATCTATGTTAGGATATATATATATTCATTTATTATCAATCTATCCACTCCTATATATTTATTATTATCTATCTCTATAGGTAATGGCTATTGATATCGATTTATCCACTGCTATCTATCTATCTATTGATATCTATCTATTTCTATATACTTATTGATATCAATTCATTTACCTTTTTATCTGTCGATCTTCGATATCTATTTATCGACATATCTTCTATATAATTATCTATCGATGCTATCGATATCTTATCTATCGATCGATATCTTATCTATCTATCGTATCTATCGTCTATCGATATCCTATCTATCTATCGATATGATCGATCTATCTATTATCTATTTATCGATATCTATCGATATCTATTATTATCTATCTATCGATATTATTATTATCTATCTATCGATATCTATTATTATCTATCTATCGATTATTATCTATATATCATTATCTATCTATCGATATCTATTATTATTATATCGTATATATCTATTATCTACTATTATCTATCTATCTATCTATTATTATCTATCTATCGATATCTATTACTATCTATCGATATCTATTATTATCTATCTATCGATATCTATTATTATCTATCTATCGATATCTATTATTATCTATCTATTGATATCTATTATTATCTATCTATCGATATCTTTTATTATCTATCTATCGATATCTATTATTATCTATTGATATCTATTATTATCTATCGATATCTATTGTTATTTATTGATATTCATTATTATCTATTGATATCTATTATTATCTATCTATCAATATCTATTATGATCTATCTATCGATATCTATTATATCTATCTATTATCTATCTATCTATCGATATCTATTATTATCTATCTATTGATATCGATATATCTTTATCCATTTATCGATATCTATCATTATATAATTATCGACAGATAGATATATAATGTTAATAATTCATAATTCTATTCATTAATAACCAATATTTGTCTTGTTCCTCAGTGTGAGAGAAGCTATTTCCTATTTTTATGACATGGTCGTGTGTAAAAATGTGCATTAACTGCCAGGACAGTATTAATCATAATTCATCATCCTTTTAATGCCTCTTCCATCATTACAATTTACATTTTGTAATCTATGGTATTCGTAGCCTGTTTTGACACTACCTTGGAACATAACAGTAATAATGATATTGGTAATGAAATGATCGTATTAACAATACTGGTGATAATAATAACGATTATTATCAATTTTGATTGGTGTAAATCACAAATCAGGGCCTTGAATCTGACTGAGTGAGGCAGGAACTCGGGCGGGCTGTGACCTTGACCCATAGAGATCGTCCTCAGGTCAGGAACCATTCAAAAGCCTCTTCCCGCTCGTTTCCCTCACCAGTGTTCCTCTCGTTCAAGATGGATAACTTTGAGTACATTTTTTCTTATCCGTCTGACGTGGCTGCCTCTCAATATGGGTCTGACGCGGCTGGATATGCTTGGACGTTTGGAGACGTTGTGGGGGTGTCCTCGAGGGACATCATGGACCACTTACTAGGAGCGCCCTTGCCGCCCCCGAAGAGACAGTGCGTTCGACCTCCGACTGATCTCTCATGGTGTCAGCCTTCCTATGCAAGTTACTCCACTCCCTTTGTTGGGAGGCCATCGAATCGGATCTGGACGCAGCTTCATGGTTGGCCTCGGTGTCTGCGCCCCACGAAAAGGAGGCGATTTCACCCTCGCCTGCTCCAGCGCCTCCTTCAGTAAGCCAAGAATTCAAGAGCGCTCTCGGCCCCGTCACTGTCACCTTCCTGTCGCCGCAGGTAACATCCTCTCCAACCCCTCCTGCGTCCTCCGGCCGCAGAAGGAAGAACGCCCACTGTCATCTCTGCGACAAGCGCTTCGAGAGTCGCTACAAGTTAAAGATGCACGTCAATACCCACACGGGTGCTCGGCCCTTCACGTGCGACGTGTGCGGCAAAGGCTTCATGCGACGGACCACCCTCAACGCACATCGAACCATCCACGACGCCTCCCAGTTCTCGTGTCCCACCTGCAACCGCCCCTTCAAGCGCTCGTCCGAAAGGCTTATTCACATCCTGCTGAAGGTGTGTCTACGGAAGCAAAGAATCCTTCGTCGGACAACCAGCGGCTGGTTTTGTGATGTGTGCAACGAAGGCGTTCCCCAGCCGGAGGACCATCGGTGTCCTGTCAAAGGTCGTCGACGTCAGTGCCCTGTCTGCGGGATGGACTTCGGCGGGCAGCGCGACCACAAGATGTTGACTCATGTCCGCCAGGATCACCCAGAGTTCCTGGCTTCGTTGTAATTGCATGTATTTCCCAGGACCAGTGACTCTTGCCCAGTGATATGTTGTAGATGGCATGGAAAATAAAATTCTATGAATGTTACTTTTTGCTTTTCTGTCATTTGAAATATACTGTCAATGATTGCATATATACACACAAACCAACAAATATAACGAACATGGAATGCAGTTAGAAAGGTAAAGAGCGTTGTTAATGAGATCAAAAAGGGAAACAATACGAAATGATGAAGGGTGTGTGGGGATACGGAGCAAGGAGAGTGTAGGTGCAGTTGAAACGTGATGGTGAAACATGGTAATTTGGACGAAAAGGAAATTACACATACAGACATAGGTGTGTTTGGATGTTTATTTTTCTGTTTATCTTTTTATAAATCTGCCTATTTAGCTTCCTCCCTGCCACCCTATTTACAAATCTATCTATCTATATATATCAGTCTATCTTTTTTCCGGCTCATCTATGTATCTATTGATATATATCTATCAATAAATCTACTTTCCTACCCACTTAACTGTCTATTGATATATATATATATATTATATATATATATATATATATATATATATATGTATATATATATATATAATATATATATATATATATATATATATATATATATATATATATATATATGTATATATATATATATATATATAATATATATGTATATTATACTATTACATTAATTTATTATCAATTTATCCACTCCTATATACTAATCTATCATTGTCTATCTCTCAATAGGTAATCCCTATTGATATCTATTGATATCTCTCTCGATTTCTATATACTTATTGATATCTATTTATGTGTATTGAGATCTATTCTATCTTTTTATGTGTATTGATATCTTTTTATGTGTATTGATATCTTTTTATGTGATATCTTTTTATGTGTATTGATATCTATATTATTTATATCTTTTTATATGTCGGTATCTCTCTTTTGATATCTGTCTATGTATCGATATCTCTTTATCTTAATATATATATATATATATATATATATATATATATATACATATAACTATCTATCGATATCTATATTTCCATCTATAACTATATATCGATATCTATCTTTATCTATCTATTGATATATATATATATATATATATATATATATATATATATATATATATATATATATATATCTATCTATCTATCGATATCTTGTTGATATCTATCAATTGATATCTTTTGTTGATTTATCTATCGATATTTTTGTTGATATCTATCTATCTATCGATATTTACCGATATCTTGTGCTTGTTCTATCTATCAGTGTGAGAGAAGCTATTTCCTCTTTTTATGATATGGTCGTGTGTAAAAGTGTGCATTAACTGCCAGGACAGTATTAATCATAATTCATCATCCTTTTAATGCATCTTTTATCATTACAATATACATTTTGTAATCTATGGTATTCATTGCCTGTTTTGACACTACCTTGGAACATAACAGTAATAATGATATTGGTAATGAAATGATGATAGCCTTACCAATGCTGGTGATAATTATAACGATTATTGATTGGAGTAAATCACAAATCAGGGCCTTGAATCTGACTGAATGAAGTGACCTTGACCCGTAAATTGTCCTCAGGTCAGGGGCGGGCTAGTGTGTAAATGACCAAAATCGGTCCAGCTCTGTCAGCCCCAACAAATCTTCCCGCCCGCTCGTTTCCCTCACCAGTGTTCCTCTCGTTCAAGATGGATAACTTTGAGTACATTTTTTCTTATCCATCTGACGTGGCTGCCTCTCAGTATGGGTCTGACGTGGCTGCCTCTCAATATGGGTCTGACGCGGCTGGATATGCTTGGACGTATAAGTATCGATATCTATGTTTATATAGCTATCGATAGCTATCTATCTTTATCTATCTGGCGGAACGTCTTCGACTGCACGAGATGCAACTCCTTGAGTCGCAGGTCAGCAAGCCTCGAGGGCTTTCGTCCCCGCTGTGTTCATGTATATTGTACGTGTGTGTTTCTTGTGTATGCTTGAGTATTTGTGTATATTTACGTGTGTGTATATATGTATGAAGATGTACACATACTTTTGGTAGTTAGCGTGGAAGTGCGGGCATATGTAAACCAGTTTGTGTGTTAAGGTGAGAGTATATTTGGGTGGGTGTTGTGTACAGGTATGCTAACATGGACCACAGTGTGGGTCTCGTGTGTGTGAGGCCGAAGGGTAAATGCCGAAAATATGAAAGGTGGAGATTCATGGAAAGATAAGGGCATAGCTACCCATTCTTCTGGGCATCTACTTTCGGTCGGTCAGTGCCAAAAGCCTTCGTACACGAGACCGCGAGGTGGCATTGGATGTCATATAGATGTATATGTATTTATAGATATATGAATAGAGATAGACAGATAGCGATATAAATAGATAAATAAATAGATAGACAGATTGGACAGATTGATAGATAGATAGATATAAAGATCGAGAGAGAGAAAGAGGAATAAACAACACAGACAAACCGATGGATTGACACACGAACTGACATAGAGACATTTAAACAGAGAGACATCCACAAAATCTAACAAACTAGAGTTGTATTCGGAAACAGAATAAGGAAGAGAGACAAAGCAAAAGAGATTGAAAGTCAGAACATACATTGTATTATTAGTATCAAGCGCACACACGAAGGAAAAAGAGAAATGTGGTTTTAAATGACTGAATCTTATATAGAAACACAAATTAATTTTTACATTCTCCCGCATTTTCTGTTAACTGCAGTATTTTTTTTTTTTTTTTTTTTTTAGTTTCTTTGTAGCCATTCTATTTTTTCTTGATCTCCTGTTCTCTTTGTTCGTATTTTCTGACATTTCCCTCTTACATTTTTCACAGTCGTTCATGTGTGTGTGTGTTTGTGTTTTCCAACCTTCCATCTGCAGTACAGCTTGAGAGGCTTAGAGTTCCCCAAACGTCCTTCGATAGTTCAGTTGCCGTCGATGGTTGCCGATCTTTATTCATTGATAAATCAATCTTTTATTCATTTTTACTGATCGAAAGAAGGCAAAGTATACTTTATATTCAAGGTTATATTCTATAACACTACCTAATCAAGAGCACAAATTTCCTTATGGCTTCGATAACACACGAACCAATCTCACCTGACTGTATGTGTGTCGAGCTTTGGAACCTCACGAACACCAAACATCCTTATTCACCGGAGGATGTTCTGTTGGCCAATTACACTGATACTGAAAAGAGTTTTAAAATGCTTGTTAGTAATTACCCTTATCATCAAATATGATCTAAAGCTAAAATTCTGATGATATCTTTCATTTCCATTATCGCCTTGATATTTTTTTTCAGTTCGGTTTTGCGTAAGATATCCTAATACAAATGTAAATACCGAAAACTATATATAATCCCGTACCTTATATTACAAACAAACATGTATCATAGAGAAGTGGAAAAGCACACTGACTCGTAATTATCATAAACGATCCTTGAAGACTTCAAGGACAGTCGAGACTTGAGATGTTAAATGTTATTCTTCCTATACACTCATTTAACACAACACTACTGATATTATGAATACATATGAAAATGAGTATCTATATACTACATATATTCAACATGGTGATATGTATACCATCTATATATCATTCACCTCACTCCCTCTCACACTAAGCCTCACTGCACCCATTTCCAATCCTTCTCAGCTTTCTCCCATTTTTCTATGTGGGTCGCCGTTATGGATGAGCCGCCTGCACTGATTTTTTGCTATTACGGTCATTCCATACTGGTTTTGGGATAGGTTTTTTACAGTCGGATGCCCTTCCCAGACAGTAATCCTCTCTATTTTATCGGCTTGAGACGGCACCCACAAATGCTGGCTTGCCCCTCAGGTGGCTCTTATGATGGACAATAACAAACAAAAAATATATCAAAAGTGTCTTTCACATGGTAAATGGCAACCCAACACACAACAGTTGGGCGCCCACTGAAGTCCAAGGTATTTCTGAAAAACACGCCGTCGACCACTGATTATATACATATGCGGATATTTACAACATAGACACTATACTTTACATCAATGAATATAAACATAGATAATATATAGATATGGATACTGATGCCTTTTGTCTTAATAGATTTCTCTCGATCATCAAGCCATACCAATTTATATGCATATATGCTACGTCGCTTGATAGTCGTATACACAGGCCACCTTTAATAATTACGGTCACGTTCCTAAGAAAAACAAAAGGTAAGCTATTTTCTAATTTACATTGATTTGTTATATTACTGTCACTGAGATCGCTGATGTTAACTGAAACTGAATGTGTCTGTGTACACTATACTCCGAGCAAAAATCCCTGGAATGCGGATCTAATTTGTCTTGGTCAGTCTTGAATTGAACTACATTTGTCTTGTTAATAATTATAATTTAAATAATTGAACTATATTTGTCTTGTTCCTCAGTGTAAGAGAAGTTATTTTCTCTTTTTATGACATGGCCGTGTGTAAAAGTGTGCATTAATTTCCAGGAACAGTATTAATCATAGTTTATCATCCTTTTAATGCCTCTTCCAT